CCCTTCTCTACATTACCATTTTTACGAAGCCCCGACACAATCGTAGCGTACGCCATCACATCCGACTGAACCTTATCCCTCCTCATCTCCTCTCATACCCTCCTCATCTCCTCCCAATCACCTCCTCGACCCTCCCCTCCTTACACAGCCCCTTCGCGAGGGTCGTGAACATGGTCGTCGCATCTCTGAAGGACCGATGCTGCTGTTTCCGGGCAGGAGGGAGGTGGCAGGGCGAGGACTCGAGAGCGCGACACTCGGGATCTACGGGACGAGCATGGAGGAGAGACTGCCGTCGCCTAGCGTCACGGTTTGGGTCCGGGGGATGGGGGGTTCTGGGGGGGGGCTGAGAAAGATTGGACCTTGGGTTGTTGGGACTGGAGGAGGATTAGGGTTTAGAGGAGGTGATCGCAGTTCGTTGGGGTTTTGTGGGGAGGGGCGTTCCGCAGCAGTGAGAAGGAGGCGGTGGTGCAACAGCCACATGAGGGGAGCATGGTGGTGGTGGTGGTCAGCGGTGGTGAAGACATATGTTGGGGTGGCTGATGAAGGGGAAATGAGGGAAATGGGGGGACATAAAGGAGGCCTTGAATGGGATTGTGAGGATAGGGAGGGTTGAAGAACTTAAACTCACAGGACTACTAGTCCCGTGGGTTTTCTGATTAGTGACCACTAAACATACGGGACTACTAGTCTCGTATGTTCTGAGCTAGGCGTTTTTTAAAATCGACCTCTTTTTAACTTGTTGGCCAAAAAGAGGTCGATTTTGCTAAATAATTAGCAAAATGGCCGATTTTGCTAATTATTTAGCAAAATAGGTATTTTTTAAAAATTTCCCCTAAATTGTATTGTAGTCAGGAAATGACATTCTACAGTTGTAAACCCTTTAACTTTAGTATAGATATAAATTTTTAGTAGAAAGTTGAAGTTTATTTCCTGCTCTTGCCAAACAGACTACTCACTTTTCAACAAAATTTGCTAAACCAACAATACTATAATAAATTTTATTGTAGTCAGGAAATGACAATCTACAGTTGTAAACCCTTTAACTTTAGTATAGATATAAATTTTTAGTAGAAAGTTGAAGTTTATTTCCTGCTCTTGCCAAACAGACTACTCACTTTTCAACAAAATTTGCTAACCAACAATACTATAATAAATTTTATTGTAGTCAGGAAATGACAATCTACAGTTGTAAACCCTTTAATTTTAGTATAGATATAATTTTTAGTAGAAAGTTGAAGTTTATTTCCTTTTTTTTAATCTAACCATCTTGAAATCTACTATTTCCACGCATATCCCGCCACATATTACAAATTACTCATTTCCTGCTACAGATACAATTAAGCAGCAGATTTAATATGCTAAAGCTAAAAGATAGGCCACACATTATATAATCTTCATTTTATTTCAGCGGTCTTAGTATAAGAGGAAGGAGAAAAATCAAGACTTGTAGACTCAGACACAAATGTCATACTACAACACGGAAAAAGGCCATCAAACACAGAAGTTTCCAAATCAAAGCACAAGTACATAGATATATTTGTTGTTGTGTACGAGTATATGTCTATGACTCGTATGATGCGTGTGTTGAGTTCATATTCACATATGATTATGAGAATCCATAGAAATAGCTTATATCAAAACAACACAAAATATTTCGTCTTATATATGTTTTCAATATGAGTACAAGCTAAATATTGGTGAGTGTCAGGCATGGATGAGTAAAGGTGCTGTGAATTTGACAAGCGGCATGTCTATTTTGATTCTTGGTTTCCAAGCAGCTAAAGACAAGACTAACGAGAAGCTAAGCTAAAGACGAGACCAACAAGAAGCTAAAATTTCGATTCTTGGTTTCCTATTATCTGATGATATAATACTCACATCTTAAATCTAATAATTCCAAGCAAATAACTAGGAAGTACTTTCGACCTCAAATTTTAAGTATTACTTATTCCCTTTTGCTGAATATAAGCTCTGTTTAATTTCATGCTGAATATAAGTTCTGTTAAATTTCATACTTTCATCATAAAAATACCTACGAAGTAGAGAGAGCACTAAAAACCCTCGTCTTTTTCCTACGCCTAAATGAAAACTAGCTCATCAACCCACACCAAGAACACCAAATGAAACAAAAACCCAAATTCTATACCATGAGTTTTAATTCTATCTTGAAGAATCATTCACCAATTCAAAGTAAACTATCACTGGTTACAATTTGCCCTATAATTTGGTAGTCTGACCTAAAACTAATACAGCGCTTAGGTTTACCCTTTTTAGGAAATTAATAATAGAGCAAAACCTGGACACCAAATACCAATGAAAACCAAATCCATCGCTCAATTCTGAATTTTATGAGCTTCTCTAATCAAAATCTACACCTTAAAATTAATGTTGAGCTCAGAAATAAATGTGAGGTTTAGGGTTTATCGACTGTTCCGATCTATGAAATTTAGATGATTTTACCATCAAAAAAATTTCTGTTAATATAGAGGAAAATAAGATTAAAATAAAAAAATTTATTCGATGATGGAGAGCTAACCTGAGATGGAGAAGAGAAAGAACCAACCTTTGTCTGTGTTCCCCCCGAGATCAGCTCTTGAAGTTGCTAGTGGGTCGGGTAAGTATAATAATTAGATCCGAACCCGGTTCTTTGTACTAAGCTGATGATTCTGATTCAAGTAAATTGTATCAATTTTCTATGGCCTTAATAGCACTTAAATACCTCATAGTTTCACTCACTTAGCACTTAAATACCCTCATTTATTTTTCGTAGCATTTATACCTCAAGTTGTTTAAAATTGACAGGTTAGCACCCTCAATCGTGCAAACATCAAAATTTTCACCCGTTAGCACCCCCAATCATGCAAACATCAAAATTTTCACCCGAATGTTCCTATATGAAACTTCCAGATTAATTATAGAGCTTTCCAACTATTAATATTTAGGGAATTTCCTGCCTGTCACCATTTTAAAAGATTTATTAGTTAGTTGTTTTGTTGTTAGATATTTTTTTTGGATATTTTGATCAATTGATTTATTTATTCATTACTGGTACTGGGAATGGAAGCAACGTATAGGATCTTTATTCAACGTGCGGTAATACACGGTCATGAGCTCAATCTTTTGCTCGAATGAATACGGCCCAAATCAAGAAGAGCAGCAGGCTTCTGAAGTTTTCATATTGTATCGGTCTTTATCGTACACAGCACCTCATTCCGAGTAAGGGCGGGCAACGGGACTAGCCGGCTCGCGCGGGCTCAATGGTGAGATGAGACGGCCCACGTCCTGCAGCGGGACAAGTGCACCGTGTTGCATCGCTTGCTTGTGGGCTTAGATCTTAGCTCAGCCCACTCGCAGGAATAAGATTAAGCGAAGCGTGCCATGACACACGTGCCGGCCCGCCCAACCCAACATGTTGTTATTTTTTATTTTTTATTTTTTATTTTTGGATTTTGTAAATGATTTTTAGTATTTTTAAATAGTTTTCAAGCATTGTTTAACACCTAAAATTATATATAATTAACTAACAATGCAACCATTATAAAAATAAAAAATAATTTTATTAAGTAAAATTGTATATTTGTACAGAATGACAAAGAGAAACATCACAAATACAGAGGTTTTACATGGTTCGGAGCAAGTCCTACTCCACGGGCGACAACTAATTATTTCACTAATTTAACAATATAGTAATAAATTACATTAATCGATGAACTGATGAAATAATGAAGGGGGAAAAATTGCATGCAACCCAACGGGCCTGGTTCAGCGGGCCAACCAACTTTCATTTAGGCGCAACTCACTCGCTGTGTTCGGTGGGCTGAGTGAGCTACCGGCCCACTTGTTACTAAAGGCCACCTTAGCACGGTCCCGCTACTGTAGCGGGCCGAATCGGCCTATCCTGCACTGAGTCGGTCGAGCCGAGCTCAAGAGCGAGCCGAACGAGCGGGCTCATGGGCCGATCCAGCCCAGTACACGCCCCTAATTCCGAGGAGCATCAAAGGAGTTCGGTTATCATTCATTCAGCTATTACATATATATGATGTTATAGAATCTAATTACATGATTCAATTATTTGAGTAATGAAAATTGACTGATTTGCACATATTAAGACTAATAAAATTATTTTTCCATCTTTATACCTCTTGCTTATATTTTATTTTCCAAACTTCTTTTTTTTCGCTTTTTATAGTCATCCTACTCTTTGGAATTTACTCCTATGCTAATGCAAGCAAACATAGCTAGTGATGCTACTAAAAGCAAGCAGTGTATGATAATTTATCCACACCCAAGTAAAATAATTTTTTTCCTTTGGTTAGAATATTATAATTGGGTTAAGTAAAACTGCCCCAGTCATGCTTGCGACCGCAATTTGCAAGGAGTCCTCCCCTTCTTGCCTCTTCCACCTTTCACCCTTTTCATCAAATTATGTATTTAAAGTGAACCTCAATTTCTCCCAAAATAGAAAGGAAATGTTTTAGATAAAAGTAGCAAGAAATAGATTCAGCCGAGCAGAGAGAAAAACACGAGACCATTTATTGTGCATTTGTGCAACGCACTTTGAGCACTTGGGAGTCGCCCAGACGCCCCAAACTTTTCTTCAAAACACAGGCTATATTACTCGTGCTCATATGCTCTCTATCGAATCATTTGTAAAAAAACATCTAATTGCAGCACACAGCTAAGATTGTAAAGCATCTCATTGTAGTAAACAGAGAGAAATATAGGCGAACACGCTCAAGTCAGTCCTCAACATCAAACAATAAAGTAGAATCCCGAGTCACCGTCGACAAATTTGGCATTAGAATATAGACACAATTCATGTAATCAGAAAAATCTAACAATGTACTTCTGTAGCCTTTATTTTTCTGAATTTCAAATCTCAAAAACTTTTCAAATTAGCACGATCTCCAGAGGTAACTACCGTCCATACGAGAATGTATTTTGCATCAAGCTTTCATGAAGCATCTCAGACCACAATTTCCGCAATACACAGAACTAAAGAAGGAAGAAATAAATCCATAAGGATCAGAACAACTCATGTTATATCCAGCTTACAAGAACAGCTTGACAAAAAGATGTTGTGATTTCTTAAAAAGGAGAAGGTTCACAAACCTCGACGAACTCAAAACAGTTTAATTTTCTGATCTTTGTTGAACATAAAACAGATAAGCAAAAATTGAAGCCATCCAACTAAAGATACTGAAGTACGGCTCATCCAGGTAGGTTGCTGGGATCTGCTAGAAAATTCCCAATAGTTACCTGCTCCAGAAATTGCTCAACATTACCTGCATTAAGTTCTCAAAGAGAAGCAGCAGCGCGAGAGAGAGAAAAAAGGGAACAAAAAAAGAAAGAGGAAAACCTACATGAAACCCTGAAATGATAAGGGTGGATATTCAAATAAGCGAGAGAACACGTATATCCTTTTCTCTAGCCCCCCATTGTAAAGGGTTTACTTTTCGAATCAGTTAAATAATCTAACTTAATATGTACAATATTGAACATGATGCCTTCTTCTGCACAGGCTTGATCAATAGGGGGAGTATGAGAGATTACCAATCATTACCATACAACCGACGATTACCATACAGGGCTCACAATTTCTCCAAGTAATATACAGACTAATTTGAACTAAAGCCGCGGTGCCCTCTATCCAACATATTTCTCATCAATTTCCCTGCACATGCAGTGAGATGAGGAAGAAAGTCATTAATTTTCCAATGTTTACTGCAAAACCAGACAGTGATATGTGGTCCATAAGGATACATGTCGATATGAACACGTGAGAAGTATAAATGCATTGATGATGTAGACAATGCTAAGCAAATACTGAGACAGTCATATAGACGAGCAAACACCATAGTATTCCATGGAAATAGAAAATTACTCCTGACAGGCTGATTACACACTTCTCTAACTTGTTTCGAACTAAAACGAATATGACAAAGATGTATTTACTACTAATGTAATACATAGCAAGTTGCTTGAATCTCTCTGAAATATATATGACGTATAAGATGGTTTCACTGACATTTTTCCTTACCAAACTGGGTAATGTAAAAGAAGACCTACGAACAAGAATAGTAACGGCATAAGACATTTTGTGTGCTTCGCCATAGTATTATGCAGTAAGTCGTTTTACTTCCACAAAACTCAGTAAGAATCGGAGTGAAAAAAACTATATATAACTAGAAAAGCAAAAGAGGGTTCTATGATAAAGGTACGCATTCTGGAGAGTTAGGACATAAGAAGTTTATATATCCAGTAGTAATTAGTCACTATTAGTATGTCCTGAACTAATTCAAAATTTCCAAGAATAGCAACGGCATAAAACATTTTGTCTGCTTTGCCACTGTATTGTGCAATAAGTGGTTCTAGTTCCACAGAACCGAGTAAGAATCGAGGTGAAAAAAACGAGAACTCTACAAAAAGCAACAGATGGTTCCATGATAAAGATATGCATCCCGGGCAGTTAGGAAAATAGAAGTTTATTTATCCAGTAATAATTATTCGCTATCAGCATGTCCTGAACTGATTCAAAATTTTCCAGGAAATGTGATTAACACCAAAGCTCCACTTAGGGGCAAAAAATCAACAGATCTAACTAAAAAATCTCAATTTTGTTTTCAAAAATATCCACATCTCGTATAAAAATATAAGTCAGCTTACCAAGAAAATTCATCAAGAACCTTCATTTGACTCGGATCTGCATTTTGCATGCACAATGGGGCCCAACTGAGATCTATCTAAACCATCGATTTTTCCGTCTGGAAAGTTCATGTACACTGTCCCTTTGTACATCCACTCTTCAGCTTCATCACTATAAAAATCCTCAAAGGGCTCACCACATAGCGTTTGTCTTCCTTCTTCTCTGCGACTGTTTCAATTGGCATAAAAGGTACAACATCAGTTCCAACAGTCTCAGCACCACTCAGCCACTCCTTCGTATTAACAAACCATTTGCGAGAAGGCTTTTGTTTGCGGTTTCTAGATATTCGATTCTTAGTTACATGCCAATCCATGTGAGTGCTATGCTCTTCTTGGCACTTGAAACGGAGACCACATGTAGTGCATTGTCTTGGAAGATTTGTATATAAAGCGTTTATTGCAGACTCGTGTCGCACCTTAAGAAGCTCTGCGTTGAATTCAAGCCCCACTGTGCCCTGAAATCAAGATTTCTTAACTGAAAACCTAGATTCTATGTCTAACTTTGATTAAAAGGGGGGGAAATGTAAGAATGTATTATATTTCATATAAAAGAGAAGCGGGTGAAAACTTTTCTCTAACTAAAAAAGTGTATAAAAATGAAAAAAAGAAAGTCTCTAGGTCTATGATTCTCCATGCTTATCAACAATCGAACGTACTAGAAGCGAAGACAATCCAAAACATCAAATTTTTCTTGGCGAGTTACTGGAAAATACCTGCGTTTGAGCTGGAGGCGTCAATGAGATTAAACCTTGAGCCATTAGAGTACTAAACAGGCCAGCAATCGCAGGAGAGGCAGACATTATAGAGCCAGTACTTTGAGATTGTGGACCCACATGGGATGATCCCGGAGGTGGACCTGGCGGTAGGGGTGGTACAATTCCACCTTGTACAAGTGAAGAGGAACCAGGCATATTGGGCATTCCTCCAGAACTATCCATTGGAGATATTTTATTAGGCAAAGAACTTATGGGAACTCCATGCCCCTGAATTTGCATGTGATTTAGGGACGGAGCCATTAAATGAGAGGAAAGATGAACTGATGCAGATGGAATATATCCTCCACGAACCTCCTGAGACTGATTTCTCATGTCATTACCCTGATCTCTTTGATGATTCGTATGCATTAATCCAGACTGTTGATGAGGCAAGGTAAACACCCTGCTTGGTTCTGCAGTTCTCCTATCAGAAGACTCAAATTGGTGAGGTACAAATATAGCGGGGTTAAGTCCTTGGTTAATTGGCTTACTAGATTCCATAAGACTGGATGTATTTTCAAACTGTTTTTGATAAGGAGGAACAGGAAACAAGGGCAGTGGCTGAGATTTATGAACAGGAGGCCATAGAACAGGGGCAGTAGGGGGTGAGAATGGCCTCAACTCCAAGCGTTTTTCTAGCATTGATGCCTCTGTATTCAATGAGCTGGAGTGAACATTTGATAACTTCTGATGTGGCACTTCAACCTCTGGAGGACTATCATAAGGAATAGGCAGTTTCTGACCATTGTCTGCTGCAATACGATCTATAGGGAGAGGGATTCGAGGTTCCCATCCCCGTGACTTTGAGCTAAGTTCTCCTGAAGCATGCTGAAAACTGTATGGAAATTTCCCAGGTTCGTGAACATAGGAAGAACTGTGATAGGGGCGAAATTGTTCGTTTTGAGCTTCTCTACTGTCTGAAGATTTCATAGGCATGGATCCATGACCAGACTGCAAGAGACATAACCTCAAAAATTGTTATGCCCGCATAAAAGTTGATATCTAAAAGATGAAAAATATACTAAGCAACTAACTTCAAGCCTAAAACTGGTAGTGGGGAAAATCAAGTTCAACTGGGTAAAATAAGTACACAGATCATAAAATTCTCATGAGGTCATGTGATTTAAATTAAAAAAAAAAATCCAAGGAAAGTTATATGCGCTCATGAACATAACAAATTGATACCAAAGAAAGTTGGCTCCCATCAGAAGGAACATATTTAAGTATAACAGCACCTGAAGATAAACAAACTTGACAAAGGAAAAAAGAAAAATGCTACACCCCTATCACAACCAACATATGCAGGACATCCCTTTCATAAAATCTGACATCCTGGAGCTGGTAAAAATATTGAGTATCTACACAATCTCCCTGTGTCAAAGTGCACAGCATAGTTGTTTATCTGATACTACTTCAAGACTGAAATGATAGTGACAAAATACGCTTGAACATACTATATATGATTCAAAAAGTAAATTGCAAGATGCTAATCAACTGCGAAGATAGTACAGAGCAAGAACATTTGAGAAGGCAAAGAACCAAAGAACCATACTCTTAGAACAGGAATTCTATCATTGACAACTATGGCTGGGTCATCAACAGGATTCTGCGTAGTTTGGTCACACCAATTGTTTGCTCTAAAATCAGGTTCAAGAATACTGACGTCAGGTCTACTTAAACCAATTCTTCGGTTTAGGCTTCCAGAGCTAGGTCCCAATTGCGGTAAGTTGTTCCTTCTGTGATTAGCTAATAATGTCGGACTCATATCCTCCCAGACATACTCGTCTTCCTCGAAACTTCGCCAATTTTTAGTTGCAACCTCCCTACTAATTCCATTTACATTGCTTCGCTGTATCTTAGAGATATTCTCAAGGGAAGTGTCTTTTCCGCTGGGATTACCATAAGCATTAATTAATTCTCTTGGGTGCTTCTTGATGTATCCAGCATTAGGGTCATATGTTGCTGAAGCTTCCAGTTGAGGGGCACCAACATTGGCTAGCCACCTTCCTTCTAACCGGCCATTTTGATCAACTGCTCTGCCAGGTCCAAACCCAAGCCTGGAATGAGGTTGAGTTGCCCTTTCAGCAGCAGCCCAAGGAGACCCATCCCTTGAGAGCCTGTCATCATTTGGTGATGCTGACCTTCTCGACATTACTCTAGAAGGAGATAAAGTCTTTGGGACCTTGGCATTTATATGATCGTCATACATTTTTGATGTACGCAAAGCTGCGGATTTCAGTGAGCCTGCTTTTGACCTCACAAGATGTACAGATAGCATTTCTGGGTTATTGAAATCATAATCATCACGACCGTAGCTATGTAAGCTTGAAGAATTACCACCAGCACGTAGAGCTTCCTACAAATATAATATGCATGTGAGATTTATGATGGTTAAGATGAAATATTTAAGAAAAGATCGTCTACTCAATGTATTCCAAACCAAGAGATTAAATAATCCAACCTAGATTAATGCTAGAACTCTAAAAAAAATTGAATTCGACATTCAACAAGCATGCATTTTATTGTGTTTTAGAAAGAAGTATGTGATAGAAAAACTCAGTATTACGACTTAAATAAGTGAGAACTAAGATCTAATATTTTCATTATTAAGAATTCTTTAAGAAATTAAAGATCAGAAATTATGACATAAAACATAAGTATGCAACTGCAAATCTGAAGATGCTGTAGTAGTCCCAATTTTGCAGAAATGGATATGGGGTCACAAAGGGGTTTGTAATGCACATCGATCAAACAAAAAAGACGTATGTAATATTAAATTCAGGCAACACACGAGTAATGCTGATACAAGCGTATTCATGATAGCTTTTGCATGTTTCTCTCTTAAGTCAGAGATGTTAGGACAACTTGTATCCAGAAATCTTGCAAATAAAACTAATCCATACATTATTAATATCTGAGATGAAAGTATCTGTCATTTTAGGCATTTGAAGATTAGAAGTCAACATGAGTAAGATTAAAAAATATATTTATTTGCATAGACAGCCATAAAAAACTCAGCAAGGGAAAGCAGGAGCTGCACATGAAATTTTGAAGAAGCTCCAGACCATCCTTTAGGGCTTTCTGCAGCAAGACCTCCAACTCTATCAACTTCAAAATCAGCTGCACACACATTCTTTTGAGTGTCATTACACCACCTTGCAGTAAAAGCAATAACGCATTCGGATAGGGGGGGGGGGGGGCGGGGGGGATCCCATTATCTTACAATTGTTAATGTATAGACAGAGGTTTCAGTCCAGACACAAGGATAGGATATAAGCTCATCAACAACAACCTATAAGGATAAATACTGACCACACAATGAGATCTAAAATTTCTATTAAAACATGTATCATCTCCGACAAAAGTTTTTTTGCGTGGGGATTGGGCCGCGAGGGGGGGCGGATGGGCTCCTCAAGGACCCCACTGATAAGAACTGGGTCCCGAAGTGCCGCGTAAAACTGTCCACGGACGAACGGCTCTTCTCTTGTAGCAATATTAGTTCTAGTGGTATTCCGTAGCTAGGGGAGCTGATCCACATCTGTAACACCCAAACTCTTCAGGTCCTGGAAACTAATTTATATCATGAGTTATACTCAACCCCCTCAAATCATTTCTTCGCACTTAGCACCTAGCACCCCGAAATGCAATTTTTGGTAATAAATGAGTTTAGGGGATGTAGCAATTTTTAGAATGATAAATTGCAAGTACTATCCTTCTTTCTCATAAATTGAGGGGAAGTCAGTGCAAGTCAAGTTATAGATGATGGGGAGTTATGTGCAATTTACCCTTCTTAAAAGAAAAGCTTTATTCAGTGCAAAAACTGCCGTCACACAACTATGCTGAAAAGGAGTAAGCGGGGAAATTTGTGATTTGAAACTCACGCTAGCAGAATGTTGAAGTTGCCGTTGTGCCTCCAAGTATTTTGGATTGACATGAATACCATGAGAAGGTCGAGGAGATGGAGATTCAGAATTTCTTATATTTGTTTGGCCAACTGATCTCTGGCTTTCATTTGTAGAAAATTGCAGCTTGTTTTCAATCTTGCGAAGCACTGAAGAGGGGAAGACTTGAGACCATGTCCCAAATAGGTGCCGCATTGCTGGATGCATGTTAGAATGGACTTGATTGTATGCCTCACAGAACACCTGCAATAAGCACAAACAATTCAGCCCTCAGACTTGCGCCAAGCAATAATCTTGCTTTCAAGCATGCCATGGGAAAGTAAAATATGAAGTAGAAAAATATCATTCCACAAACTTATATTGTTGAATTAGGACTTGCATGTCAGAAGAAGAGTCAACCGAGAGAAAATATGAGATACAAACAAGTAATCACAAAAACAAAAAACTTCTTGTACAGAAAAATTAACAGGACAATGATAATCATAAAACATTGGTGCTAAAGAGGCTAATTGAAGACCAGAATTCCAGAAAGCAACTAAGCGTGGATATTTCAATTTACCTTGGGAAGCTGAGTTGCAAAATACCTCACATATTCACGACCAATGTTCTTCACTATACTATCCAAAAGGTACAGTGAAGGCAGTTTCTGATCTACTGGCACCTGCAAAGAAATGTATAGAGTGCATCACAACCATGCATGAAGCGGATATGATGCTATAAAGGGCAGAAAAACAACATCGTGCACAATTTCTCTTAAGAAAGAGAAAGAAGAATTGATTAGGGGGAAAACAAAGTTCATGACTAAATGTAACTAGCACTTGTATCAAAGAAGATAACAAAGGAGGTGGTTGCATCTAGTAGCAATTCATACATATACATAGAAGGAGAAGTCAGCATGAGATGACAACTCATTTTCTAAATAAACTATCAAGAGATATAAAGGTAGTAAGACTAATAAAGCTAGTCATGTCGACATAGATGAACTTGATAGATCATTTTATTAAAGGAGAAGCATTACAGTTCATAACCAATATCCATATATAATTATATATATACACACACATGATTGAAATTGACGCTGAAATGAAAAAGACTATTCAATGGTCTCATTCCACTTGATACCTGGTAGATAAAAAAGAGAAGAATCATTAGATCAATGTGCCAGACTTCACTCTCTTGTTTCGTGTGCGTCGATTCATACACTCAAAGTTTTTGATACACCAACTATCCAAAAGAGAAAGATGACAAGTACTTTTACAGGGTCTACAATTTAGGGAACTGTTCAATCATGCAACTAAATGCACGTATCGATCGAGCATAAGTGGGAGATAATGCATGGAAACAAGTTGGCAAGTAGGCTTACTAATTTCTTCATGGTTTCAAAGGTGCGAGCGTCAGGGATTTAGGTGTTATTTGAAGTTGTTGCTAACATTGGCTACTACATTCTCAATTTGCTGTCTGTGATATCAATTAAACATCCATAACCATCACATGCTGAGAAGAGATTCGCCTTTAGTTGGCCTAGTTTTTAGGTGCCATATTTCTCAAGTTCTGTTTTATCAACCCTTTTCGTAATGTTACTTGATTTTTATGATAGAGATAAGGTAAATTTCATGAGGCCCCTTTAAATTAGCCGATTTACAGATAACCCCTCTTAACCATTTTAATTTAAAAAATCTCCCCCATTTATATCAAGACAGTTCTAATTGGGCCAGGTCTACCAAAAAACTAGCATTTACAGCAGTCTTAGAAGAGAACAAAAAAACTGTCTGTTTGAAATGAGTTTAGAGATCTTGAATTGAGGCCCACAGTGCAACCACAACCGAGCCAGACTGATTCTAGAACCTTATCAAATAAACCATTATACGAGGGACTATAACAATAAGAAAGCTGCAACCTTGAAGAAAATGGTAAACAAACCAACATAAATCAAAATCATCGTGCTCTGAATGGAGAACCCACCGAAAACCTATGTTCACTACAAACATCAACAAAATACAACAAACAACCAATTTATTTGGGTTCATACCAACACAATACAAACAAAGCACCGAACTTTTCCCCCCACTAGATTCTTAACTACAAACAAAACTCACAAAATATTCAACCCCTCACCTCAAGAATCCTCCCAAAAATAGCATCAGCGATCCCCTCCCCAAACTCCCTCTGCTCCCCTGCAATAATCGTGAGCTCCGTTATAATCGGCTTCGAATTAAACGTCAACTCCGAAAGCAGCTCCTCGTACGCTTGAACGACCTCTTCGCCGTCCCTAACCAAAGCCTTGAACCGATCGAGAATGAGGCCGGAGGTTGGAGGCCTAGGGTTTTCTCGGGACGGCG